TCCACCCCAGGCAGGCCCATGGCAGCTGTGGGTGGGCTGGCCACCGCTCCTAGAACAGCTGCTGTCTGGAGCAGAACACACTTTTGTCTTTTGTGGTAAGAGTAAAAGTCCTCCTTGGATTTCTGTCAGTCATTGGAATGGGAACTCTGGGGTCTTCCCTTAGAGCCTCGTGGCTTTGTGCCGGGTTTTGGTAAGTGGGAGATGTCTGCACACAGTATCTTGAACCCTGATAGAAAAGGTTCCACCCCCCAAACCCAACTGCGCATGCACAAACTAACACCAGCATATACCACAGTTTTCCCTCCGATCAGCTTTCAGCAAGGAAAAGAGAAGCTGTGCCATAAAGAAACAAGTTGAAATTGCACCTGAACTATTCCATCCTCTGGGGTGCACAAGAAAAAGACTCAGGAGTGGGAAGCTTTGATCTGATCCATCCTGAGCTCACACAGCCTCGTGGGATCTGAACCCACAGCTGGACCACAATGCAGGAACTCCCTTATGAGCAGGAACCCTGGAAGGATGGAATTGGGCAGGGAGGCACTTCTCTCCTGGGCCCTGGGGCCACCTGAGTGCCCGCTGGTGGCCTGGCTGCAGCCACACAAGGGAGAGACCCACAGAGCCCCCAAGCACTGCAGAGGTCACCACATGGCCAAGGGCCTTTTGGTCATTCCCAGCTTCCATCTGGCCCACTGCCCTCACTCCTCCACACTGTGAACAGCACAGGGAGGGTCCATGATGAGCCAGACTGGACGGAATGAATAATAGATGCTGCAAAACCCTGAGCCAGGCGCTTAGTAGCTCCTCAGAGTTCTAAAGGATGAAACACAATCAGAACAAAACTTGGCGCATAGAGTCACATCTGCGCCCAGAGGGAACCAGACTGGACAGAACTGGGAAGACAGGGTCTTCCAGAGAAAGCTTTATGAAGAAGGCAGTCCAGAGACACTGCTTCCAGCTGGGCAGAGCAGGAGCAGCCCCACCCCAGCACCTTGCCCAGCACAGACAGTGGCTGGTGGTCTGGCTGCTCCCATAGGCCCCTTCCACTCCTGTGAAATGACCACCACTGGTCTAACCCCCGATGCCCACTATTTCTTTAGCAGCAAACAAGGGCTCCCTGCCAGGTGTCCTAAAAGTATATCTGACTTTCTGGCCAAGGATGGCTGGCAATGATTTTCTGGGGCATCTCCTCTCGTGCCCTCTGGGCAGCAGTATCATCCCTGGTTCAGAGCCATGTTCCCCCAGACACATTTACAGGCATCACTGTTCAACTCAAAAGAGCTCATGGGGGAAGGTAGAGCTCAGGATGCATAGTCCTCATCAGTGTACTATGAATACATAAATCCTGACACTGTTTGAAAGTATATTGCTCTAGGGACTGGAGAGAGAGTACAATGGGTAGGATGCTTGCCTTGCATGCAGCTGACTTGGGTTCTATCCCTGGCCCCCATATGGGCCCTGAAACATGCCAGGAGTGCAGAACCAGGAGTAAGTTCTGAGCACCACCAGATATGACCCAACAACTAAAACAAATTATCTTTTAAAGAAGAAAGTATATTGTTCTCTAGGGGGAAATGGGGTTGATCTAAAGTAGAAGCAGGTGCTGCAGGTAAAAGCTCGTCTTGGTCGGGGGACGATTCTCACAATCTCAAAGCAACTGCACTCAGAGTCTGACAGTGCTGCCAATTTCCTGCCAACAGACCCCCTCAGCACAGACAAAGGCCACCCTTCTTTATGATGAACACAGCGGAGCAAACAGACAGTGCCCCTCAGTGAGCTGCAGCCACGCTGCAACAGACATTGCCAACCCCTCACCAGAATCTCCACAAAAGCTGATTTTCTCTTTTGCACTTCGACCCTCTTACCCATCACCTGTTACAGGAGGTGACGGGCATGTGTGTGTCTGCTTAACTCTTGGCACTGCTGCCATTGCTATGCCCATTGGAAAGTCTCTCTGTATCCAACAGAGGGTGAGACCAGAAAGGGGAGGGTGACTGCTTTGTATTTCCCCTTTTCCATTTGTCTTGTGATTGTCTCAATAATCAGAACTCACATACTTAGTTGTGGTGTTCACATACTTGGTTGGGCTCACACCATTTGTTCTGTTCCTCACACATTTGATATGAATTCACACGAGGTTGTGCTTACACCCTTGACTGAGCTCATGCATTTGATTTCGGATCCCTGCCTGCATGTGTGTGTAGTAGTCACTGCAAGAGGGGGCATGTCGCACACTTTAGCTGCTAACACACAATTGTGGCATGCTTGCGGCATAATACTTCTTTGCAATACCCGGGGCCACAAATGGCACTGCCATGGGGATATGGCATGTGGGGAAGTGATAGGGATGGAGTCTCCAAACGTGTTCACCAGGCAGATGTCACACTGCAGAGCCATGTGAGGCCAAAGAGTTGCTCTTTGAAACTGCTGCTGAGGTTTCCCTGAAGCACATTAGAGTCACAAGACACAGAACACAAGCACATAGCAAAGAGCCAACAGGATGGAAGATCAAAGAACAAATGTGTCATGGCTTCTACTGTGATGTCTAGGGTGTGCATAAAAGGGAGAAGAGAAGCAGAGAACCCAAAACCCCAAATCTGTTCCAAGTTTCTGAGATCAGAGCTGCCAGTACTCCCAGTTCCCCTAAGCTCCCTCTGCCCCCCAGCCCTTTCCTGACACATACCCCCCACCATGCAAGCCCATTTTTGCTGACACCCCATCCACTGGATGTCCAAAGAACCCACAAACACACTCGCTCAAGATGAGTCTCTCAAGCAGGCTTTCCCCAGTTCCCCTACTGGCCATTCCAGGCCAAGTCTGTGCCCTGTCCTGCCCTCACAGCCTTCAAACTCCCTTTCAACAGAGCTGAGCATGACTCCTACTTGCATTTGAGCCTTCAGTGAACTCTGAGAAGGCACAGGAGCACCTGCTACACTACCAGGTCCTTACCATGTGGCTCAGAGCCCAGCATCCAAGTAAGCACTGAGCCCATGCCTGAGAAAGTGTTGAGCCAATGATGCTGCTCAGACAGGCATTTCCTCATAGGAGGCATGCAGGTATGAGTTTCAGCATAAGGGCAAGTCAGTAGAAAGGGAACATGAGTCTGACATCCAAATTCAAAATTGAGAGATGGGTTGATGAGGCCAGGAAGGCAAACATGAGCTCACATACAAACATGGAACCTCATGTTCAGAACAAGCTTAACCACATAAAATCCACATCTGTGGCTGGGAAGAGGCTAAGACAAATAAAAGCACATGGTGTGTGTGTGTTTGCAGCACACATAACAGTAAGTCCAATTCCTTACACAGCAATGGTACATACAAACCAAAAAGTCCCGAGGACCAGACGAGAGACCGCAGACAAGGGAAAATACAAATGACATGTTCAAACTCCAGGAATAAAAAGTGACATGAGGAGCCACAGAGTATGTATAAGAACATATAAGAGTAAGGAACTCGCTCTGCATGTGGCTGACTCTTGTTCAACACCCTATCACCACATAGGGTCCCTTGAGCCCTTCCAGGAGTGACCCCTGAGCACTACCATGTATTGTCTCTTCCTCGTTCCTCAAAAAAGGTGAGTGAGCATGCAAAGAGAGTTTCATAGATCAGGGATGGATAGTGGAGCAAAGGGAAGGGAGAAGGAACATAAATGTTGTGTCACACACACCAGGCATGAACTGTAGCTGCCTCTGGGCAGAGAAACCTTGATTTCCAGGAACAAGGGGGTGGGAATGAAAGGACATTCACTGTTCACTACCCACTGCTTTCACTGGTTTGAAATCTGCCTTCTCAAACATTAAAGCTGTATTGAACTGGGGCGGATGGATGTAACTCAATAAACAAAAGACAAAGTAGGGAAAACAGAGAGGCCTGGCTCCACAAGTTGCTTGGGGTAGGGTTAGAGCAGGTGTGGAGAGGAGGCACCCCAGTGCCACCAGGCAAGGGCTCCTAGAGAGGAAATACCCCATTGATGCCCTGACTTGGAGGCACCACACACCCCTCACCCTGGGGACAGCCTGGGCAGCAAGTGCCGCCTGCACGGCCCATTGGCAGCACGACTGAGGTAAAGGTCCAGCACTTGAGATGTGCCAAGACTGGAGTCAGCAGGGCACCCGGGGACAGAGACAGGCAGGTCACCTGCAGCAGTCTGTACAGTCTCTGCTGGCCCTCTCCAGTTCCAGGAATGTGGGGGCACAGCCTCTCAGAGCAGAGGGTCACCGCAGACTTGGCTTCGCTTAATAAAGAGAAGAAATCACAGGGACCCAGGAGCTTCAGGTGCAGTAATGAGCACTTACCTGGTGACCGTGGGGTCAGGAGTTTGAGCCGCAGGGCTGATCACGTGCCATGAGCACACTTCTAGGGGCTCTGTGACTTTCAGTGTCGCAACAGTGTGTGATCTCAGCACCTACTAGGTGTGTGTGAGTACTGTGACTAAAGCTCAAGTCACCTGGGCACTACTCCCAGCAGTGCGACCCCCAGACTTCAGGACTCTAACAATTCACTGGGATGATGTTCAAGAAAAGAAAGAGTAAAAACCTCCTTAGCCTTCTCCAGGCACCCCTGTCTCAACACCTCTCCAAGTACCTCTTCCCAGAGCCACCCTGCCTGGGTAGGGTGAGGTCTGTGCCTCTCTCCACATAGCTGTGAAAACAGGAAGGAACATGTGCACTGAGGTCTGCTCCAGATATGAGACCAGGCACATCTGGACAAGAATCTGCATGTCCCCTGCCAGCTACAGGGTGGTCAGGATTCTGGAGTCAGCAAGTCTCACGAGAAGCACAAAACCCCCAAGGTTGCACCCACTGGTGGCTGGTGAATGCACAACAAAATTAGTCATGACCAAAGAACTCAACCCAAGTAATGACGGCAACAAATTAATTTCTCTACAACCTAGTAAAAAGCTCAGTGAAACCCGTCCTGCTGTTGGCCTCTCTGCACCTAAACGCCAAAACATGGAAAAGTGACATTGATTTATTTTTCTTTTTTCCTTTTTTCTTTCAGGGGAGAGAATGAATGCAGTCCCCCACTACCACAAATTGCGTGGTCGAGTTTCCCACATTTGGGGAAACTGCAGGGGTCAGTACACCCAGAGTACAATGCATTTCCTCACCCTGGGAAAACCACCTTGGTGATCATCGTGTCTCCCTCTCTGCATAAATCAAGTATGACATTGATTTAAAAATAAAAAAAAATGCCCATGCCACTTAGTGTCTTTGCCAAGTATTCTCACACACATTCTCCCATGAATATGTTTTTCCCATGAGTGGAGCCTTGAATACACCCGGGATGGTACAAGTGCACCTAAGAAAGTTGTTCAGGAAAGGGTGGGGAAATAATTCATTTATCACTGAGAAAAATCCGAATCTGATGGGACTGAGGGTGGAACAGAAAAGCAAATATGTCCTGCTGACACCCCTGCAGGCAGGTCTGTCCCAGCATAAAAGTTACTGGGACTAAGACTCTATGCTGACAACCCATGTCACCCGTGTCCCAGGTTTGAGATTACTTTCACCGGGAATCATCTGCTCTTTAAAGGGAGATCCACCTTTCCATAATGCTGGCTCTTCTTCTTTTCAAGATTTTTGTGAAAAATGTTTAAGAAGCACAGTATTAGACACTAAATTTTGTTTGTTTTGGGGTCACACCTGGTTGTGCTCAGAGCTTACTCCCTGGCTTGTGCTGAGGGATCACTCCTAGCAGGATTCGGGTGTCTTTTTAGGGTGCTGGGAATCAAGCCTCACTAGGCCACATGTAAGGCAAGCTCTTTACTGCTGTAGTATCTCTCTGGTCCCTTAGAACAGTAATTTCTAATACACACAGACCCCATATGAATATATTGCCCTGTGAGTGCTACCTGCATATCTGGAGCTTAAAAGAACATCAAGTGTACAAAGTGTCCTTTCTCAGGCTGTCCCTAAGTGCCTATCAGAGCAAGGCTGGGGCCCAGGACCGCACCCAGGGGCTAAGACCTGCATAACTTTACTTCTGAGAGTTACTACCCCTAACATTTAGTTCAGTCAAAATGAAGTCCAGAAAGCATTAGCCCAGAGTCAGCAAGAGGTCAAACTACATCAAGTTCGAAGCTTTTCATTCCTGGACATCTTCCCTTTGCTGTATCTATGTTTACTGAAAGACCAGCCTGGGCCATCTCCCTTCTTCCCTTGGGACAACTTTCTCAAAAGAGAGGTAAAGAAAACTCAGCATAAATCCTTATTTGCTAAACTCTAAAGATTCCTGCAGTATTTGAACTTAAACCACTAAACTCAAAACAAGCCACTTGACAATGTTTGGTTTCAAAATTCCAGACTGAGCCTGTGCTTAGTCCTTCTGGGCAGGAACCCCACGAAGCAAACACAAACAGTCCTGTCACATTGTGTGGCCTCCCCAGCCAGCTTATCTTGGGGACAGGACCCCCACTTTAATGACCCTGTTAATCAGTTTCCTGTCTACAACATTGTGGAGAGTTTAATTTTAGGGAGAGAACTGGGCTCCATTAGGCACTTGGTTCCAGGGCTCAGATTCAAAACCTTACCTCTGCTCAACCAGATTTTCAAAGCTCCATACACATTCACAGACAACAAATCTCAGGAAGGTCTAACCAGAGGAGAGGCTTTGCGAGCCAGAAAAGCACTTAAGGGGGAAAGCGTGTCGGGCTGCAGAAGCCAGAGAACAAGCCTCAAGAAAGCGTCTGGTCTTGTGGCCCCAGAGCTGAAATGACACCAGGGTCTATGTATCTTGAAGGTTTCTCAGACACATTCGGTGGTGGTTGTGGGAACTAGGGGAACAATGGGCACACGTGTGTGCAGTGTAAAGGAAGCAGGGGTGGTAGCGAGGGGAGCCGTGACTGTAGACCAAAGGTGGCTCTGCTATGCAATCCCCACTGGCCAGGACTGGCCAGTCTGAAACTTGGGCTTGTTTCCAGCACCATCATAAGTCCCAATCAGCCATAAGAATTCAAGGACCAGCTTATTTCTAACAGGATGTCCTATCCTCCAGGCTACAAGCCCCAGGCAGCCTAACTTGACTTTCTTGAATCAAGAGAATTCTTCTTTTATTTTTTTTTTTGGGGGGGGGTGTTTTTTCGTTTTTTTTTTGCGGGGGGTGAGGTGGGGGGAGGTGGTGAGGGGGGAAGTGGGGTGGAGAGAGGCAGGCAGGAGGGGGGTGGAGGGGGCGGAAACCCACAACAAATTTTGATTATTCACTTACAAATGCACGTATGAGCACACTTGGCTTCTCCAGGGAAGACAGCTGCACACAGTCCGTGTCCAGTATGCCCACACTCCAGGATATGCCCAGGGGTCTGTGAGACTCTGGGGAGGCTCAGCTGAAACCAGGGAGCTATCTCCCCTGCAGATACTCTCTCTGGAGCTAGGATTCCATCTGCTTAAGGTCCCTGTTTGTCAATTCGAGTCCACAGCACATTTCCCATCTCAGCTTCTCCCTGAAGATCAGTGATCCATCATCTTGGGTGAACCAGAAAAAAAGAAATTACTTCTTCAGCTTTACAACCTTCCCAGTCCAAGTGGCCTTTTGAAGCCTCTTAAACCAAACAGCTCACTGCGATGGCTAAAATGGCAGAGCGTTCAGAAGCCAACACAAGCAGCCCTGTCTAAGTCATTCACGCTTGTCTATTATCCTGAAGTTGTTCCCAGAAACAATCTCACGGTTCAGCTGTACGTACCGGACCATGTTGAATACTCTGCTGGTGCTTCATATGGAGGTAAATACTCTGCTGGGCACCAGATGATCAATAAATATTTTCAGTTGCCAAGTCTCACCCAGCAAGGATGGGTTTTCTCCAGCATACATCTGTACCTTTCTACAGATCACATCTGCAAAGTTACTTTTCCCCCAAATTATCCAAACTAATCATTAACTCAAGCAAGTGCTAAATTTCTCCCATACAAACTGCTACCCTCAGGTAATACAGGTTAAGTGTCACTTAGAAGACAAAAGTACAAGGGGAGAAAATAAACACTTAACTCCTATTTGTGGCTAACATTCTCTAAGCAGGAAGAACCTGAATAGGAAGTGCGGTGGTAGAGCTGGTTTTGCCAGTTACTTGTCTATGATTTAAAATGAACCATGAAAAACTCAATAAATCAGACACACTGGATTTCAAACTCACACAAACTTTCTTTCCAAGAAAGAGACAAAACAGTTGTTGAATTTCCCAGATAAGGGAATCCTCTCCAAAGTCAATTAAGCTAATGGAATTTTCTCCCTTTGTAACATCAGTAGCATAAATCATGCTTAAGCCAAGAATCATATAACAGAAGTATTTTGAATAGATAGCAGTCCAAAGACCTAACATTTTCTTTTTAAAATAAAACCTTTAATTCTACTTACAAAAAAGAACCATTATGCTTTTCTGTATTACCAAAAGCTCAAAAATGATCATGGTAAATGGGTTTTTTAGAAAATCTCTACATTTCTCATTGCTTGGGACCAGATTTCTGGAAATCTCTGCACCTATAGTGATTAGGTTAAAAAAAAAATCTAACTTAGTGGTAAGATACTTGTCAACGAAATATCAGAATTAAAGTCCTGCATCATTCTTGCTGGGAAGTGAGGTAGACCAGCAAGAGCTGCAGCCACCTGGAGAGTTTGCTTCCAGGGTGTGTCTGTTATTTCAGATGCCGATTCTTGGCTTTGGGGATTCTCCACAATACAAATGGATAGATCATACCCTGTGCCTAAGCCCAGAGAGCCTGGGCATCTCGCAGCTTCTACCTGAAAATTAACCCGACCTGTCCCTCTGGGCGTCTCTGCCAACTTCCCAACTGCCTGCTTTCCCCTGGATCTCTGGACACATAAACCAGAGTGGACCCAGAGGGAACCAGCTCCTGAGCAGGAATGGGGCCCTGACCAGACGTAGGACGCCGGTGCTGGACTGTGTTACCTACACACTCTCGGTACATGTGTTTCTGACATATCCAGGGCTTTCGATTTTTAAGCACGTAAAGAGAAGGGGGTCAGCTGTCCCTCAGTTCACCTCTGCTTCCCAGTGTCGGCAGTTCCCAAACTGCCAGTAGCCTCCTGACCTGACCCCCCAGCCTCAGGGGTCGAAGCAACATGGCAGTGATCTTGAGCATCACGGGTGTGGCCCTGGCTTTATGGCTACTATTTGGGCATCCTCCTTGGCCCCCTCACCACACACATACTCACACACACACACACACACACACACACATGCACACACACAAACACATGCACACACAAACACATGCACACACACCAACACACACAGAAACACATGCATACACACACCAACACACATCAACACACCAACACACAAGCACATGCACACACACCAACACACACACCAACCCACACAAACACATGCACGCACACCAATACACACACAAACACACACATCAACATGCTGATTCAGTAGCTCTGGCAGGGAAAAAGTTGCTGCTCCTTACCAAGCACACAGGCTCCACCCCACTGGCGGGCTCAGCTCTGACCCCTGGCTCTCCGCTGGCCTGGCAGGACTGTTCAGAAAGACATTGGCGAGGGACTAGAACACAGAGAGGGAGCTGCAGGCCAATAGAGAACCAAAGGGAAAGCAGGACATTGACACCAGTTTGCTCCCGGCATCCATTTCAAGACCCCAGGGACTCCAGTGATTAGACTGGAGGGAGGGTAGAAAAAGTCCATGTCTGGGGCTGGAGCGACAGTACAGCAGGTAGGACGTTTGCCTTGTATGCGGCCGACCCGGATTCGATTCCCAGCATCCCGTATGGTTCCCCGAGCACCGCCAGGAGTTATTCCTGAGTGCATGGGCCAGGAGTAACCCCTGTGCATCGTTGGGAGTAACCCAAAAAGAGAAAAAAACTGAAAACGTCCATGTCTGAGGGTTAGACCCAATTATCCCGGCAGGAATCCTCCAGCACTATCCCTGCCAACCTGGTAGGTGCCATCTGTGACAGTCCAGCTGGGACCTGACAGGCTTCTGTGGGAGCATCCAGGAGAGGAACTGCTAAGAGCTGGTCGGAAAGCAAAACGGAAAGGGCACATGTGGTGCACAGGAGGCCTGGGTTTGAGCCCCTCCACTGCATCCACTCCAAGCAACTACCAAGCACAGAACTGGGAGGAGCCCCCAAGCATTGTCAGAAATGATGTGTCCCTCCCCCCGGCCCCTCCCCCCCATTTCTC